CCTGCCCCATACACAGTTCTGGGCGGCATGTGCCCCTTGCCACACCCTGGAAGTGTGCACAGTGGTAGGGAGCCAGCACCACCCCTCGAATGAGTCACCTACAGCTCTGTCCTGCTTCCCACCTGAGCCCTGCAGCTACATTATGGCCCCAGGCCCCAAATACTGCCCTGGCTGGGCAGCAGCCCCAACTCCAGGCTCAGCCCCAGCCTTGTCCAACTCCCTCCCTCCCTATGGGGGCCTCAATCCCCCATGACCCCCCCCAGCCAGACTTACCTGCAGGAGCTGTTCTGCAGGCTGCCCAGCAACCCTGTGCATGTGTAAGCGTACACATGCACATGGTGCCCCCTGCCTGATCGCCCTCCTCCTGCTCCCCTCAGCCCCTTAGCAGGCTGGAACTCTGCCAGCTTGCAGAAAGCTCTTTGCAAAAGTGGAAAATATGCGTGTTTCTCCGTTAAAATGAAACATTTGCATTTTTCTTGGTTAAAAGGGAAAATCTGCAGTTTTTAATGTTTTTCCATAGAAAACAGAAAATCTGGATCCCTGATGGATATTATATGCAAACTGCTACAGCCATGTTTAATTTTAAGGTTATTGTTTTCAGATCTGCTCCTCACTTCTATGCGCTCAAGGAGGCAGAAGGGTCTACCAGGGCAAAAAGCTGGGGGGAAGCAGAAAACAATTCAAGGCAAACTTCCACCAATTAGATTCTATACCTGGAAAAATATAACTAAGTTATGACATTTTCCATATATAGAATCTAATTATTGTGGGGGGTCATCTTATAATCAAGACCATCTTCTATTTGAGTTAATATGGTAGTTTATGGGCTAAACAAAACCACCCAATTAAAAAACAAAACAAAACAAATCCTATCCCATAAAAACCAAAGGCCACACTCAAATCCTTCATGTAGGTACCCAAGTCACAAGAGCAATATCTATCAACCACATTCTAGCAGTGAGAAAACCACGTCGATTTTGGCTTAAAAAAAATAATAAAATCTATAAATGCCTCCACTCAGTCTTCTGTGCCTACATTTGAAAGGTTTCAGTTGTTACTTCAGTATGGACTCATATATTTATTCTTCTCCATTGTTCAGATTTATTTTTAGACTAATAAGAGTCCATTTCCTTTTGAGCTGTCTACACAATTTCTTACAATTTAAGAAGGCTCAGTTGGTTAACTAGTCATTTTTCAAGTTAAGGGGGAAATAAAACACCTTCCTAGAACAAAGCCTTGGAGCAAGGAAGGCAATCTTACTCAAGGTTGGTCACTGGTGCATTACCAGAGCAGTACTACTGTCCTTTAACCTTAATTTTGCTGTAAAAGTGGCGTTTCTCTCACATACAGTCATTTTGGTTAGCTAATGCAATGGGAAATTTTCGTTTGCACTTTTACCACTTATCTATTGCCATCAGATTGTTAAGGTGCAGCTGAAGGACTAAGACGTTCTTTTGGGGTTTCTTTCTCCACCACTATATTCTCTCTGCATTTTGCCCACTACCAAGAAGGCAGCAAACTATCCTGTTGCGAGTAAGCGAACATAAACTGCACACAAGAAACTAAAAACAATCCTGTTCTGAGACCAAGACTGCCCTGAATATAATCTCAAAGACAGAACAGGGAAGAAATCTGCAACAAACCCACAGTTCTGGTTTAAGTCAAGGTCTTTCAGAAAACCTTTGCATATACAGCAAAAGTTTTGTTATCTGGCACCCATGGGAAATGTGGGGGTGCTGGATAACCAAATATGCCAGTTACCTGAGAGGCCCAAACAGGCATCTTTGCCTGTTCAGGCTGCTGCCTCTCCCGCCACGGTGTGCAGCCGCCCCTCCCACTGCATCAGTGTGCCAGGCGACAGGAAGGGGGGCCCCACACAGGCTTCTTTGCCCCAGGCCGTGGGGGCTCAGCAAAACTGGAACTACCACAGCAGGCACTTCCGGTTTCACTTTTACCTTACAAGCTGGCATGTCGGTTAATAGAGAATGCTGGTTTGTAAGATGCCAGATAACACAGCTTCTGCTGTACAGTTGTACAAAGAACTGTATACTCAATAATGGAATGGTATACATGCTATACTCAACTGGCAGAATACAGATGCTTCATGCATCAAAACATTGATTCATGTTTAATATTTTCCACGGCACAAAAAACACTAGGACCTTTATGCTGTATATACCTGTCACTTTCGTCCCAAGTTAATCAATATGTTGGTAATTTGTAGTGGTTGATTCCTGTTGAAAGTACAACAGTCTTTGGGAAAATGTTCTCAGCCACCCACAAACACGTTATGCCTTTGCAATTATCTTAAAGGAAAGCTTAAGTGCTAGTATATATATTTTAACAAAAGACCCCCCCCCCTCCAAACACACAAAAAAAGCATTTTCTAGAAATTCTGCATGAATCATCAACTGCAGGCTGTTAATCCAATGCACCTTCTGAGGGAGTACAAAAACAGTGGGAGTGAAAATAACTAACCTCCTCCTCCTTCTCCCAATAGTAACTCTCAAACCTTCATACTGTTACTGATCACTAAAGAGACTTCTACACATATGGAATGGCAAACAGCCCTAATTTACACTGGAATAATATTTCGTGTTTTTAACTACTGTTAATGCAATAAGATTTTTTTTTTTTTTTTTAACAGTGTTTTACTTTTATTCTTCATTTCATTTCTAGCTCCCACTTTTTTCTGCTGTATGTTCTCCTGTATGTAGACTGGACAAACTTGCTTCAGAACTCCATTCCCATGCCAGCTGGGGCTTTTCCTCCACTTCCACATGCTTTTGCACTACCAGATTTCCTTCTCTATTACGTACTTCTCCATGACAAGTAGCTCCCACCATTTTCCCACCTCACCTGAAGCAGTGGCTCTCATGAGGACACAGCTTTTTCTGTCGTTATTTTTACAAGTCTGCTAAGAAAGTACTCGGGGCCCTTTATCCTGCCAGGGCTCCTCCACACATCACAGGGTGGCATGCAGACCATAGCAACAACTGTGGATGTAAGCTACTGAAACCACTGCACAGGGCCACAGTTCATTCTTCATTTGAAGAAATTTGTTACAGTAACTACACTGTTACTTGGCACTGCACTTCTATAAGTACAAGCCTGGTACTGTATTTAGATCAAGTGTATTCTAAAAAACTCCTTTCTTCAGAGGTAATTACTAATACTTCTAAGCTACAAAGTGTTGTTGGTTGTAGCCGTGCTGGTCTAAGGACACAGGCAGGCAAAGTTCCTTGGGTAGATGTGATATTGTTTATTAGACCAACTAAATAGTTAGGGGAAAGTTCTTTGCAAGCTTTTCGGCACAAACACCCTTTTGTGCCCAAAAGCTTGCAAAGAACTTTTCCCACCTATTTATCTGGTCTAATAAGAGATATCACATCTACCCAAGGAACTTCGCTTGTCTAAGCTACAAAGGCTCACAGTAAACGTGATTTTTTTTTTGTTTGAAATTACTTGTTTACACCATCTTATATCAAAATACGAGGTCATAATTCAAACCTTTTAGTGCCTGTCTACATAATGAAACTTATTTTAGTGTAAGAGTGCCATGAAGTTTGATTTAACCTTAGTTATAGCAGTAAAAAATACATGCGTTTAAGGTAAATTAAACAGGATGCTCTTCAATAGAGACTGTTCACAGATCTTTGCAGACTTCCATTAGCAAAAGATCAGCATAGGACATTTCTTATTTGTCTGATTTACTATTCCACAACCAAACCCAAAGAATAGTTCCCTTGCATTTGCAAGGCAATAAACTACAGTACAGGAGTTAACGATGAGAATGAGAAGTGCAGACAAAAACCAAAACCAACAATATTGTTCACTTGCAAAAACATAAAACAAACACCCGTATCGGTGAAAACAGATGTACTGGTAAGTTTAAATGTTTAAGGGGTGCCCCCACACCTTCCTTCCTCCCACCTGCCAATGTAGAAGTCAGCCAGTAATGAAGTCAACTTAGAAATCAGCAGCACATACATACAGAAACTGGAGGGCTATACTTCTGAACAAAAACTGCTGTTCTTTTTCCTTTTATTCTAACAGTGCCATGTCTGTCCCTAACATGCCTGCAAGAGGATAATATTTTAATGGAAAGGTGCATTTGTAAAGCCACAAGATGGCCAGACAACCTGGGACTAGATTTACCAAAACATGCTCAAGTTGTTTATTAAAACAAACTAAGTTTTAGGTCTGATCTCTGCCCTGCTAACCACTCTGTAAAGCCTGGCAAAGCAGAATGCTCTTGCCAGTCCTTGCCATGGCTGCCCCTGGCACAAAGACACATGCCAGTGCCCGACACTAGCCAGAAGTTGTTGGATGCTCAGAAACTTGCATCCCATCCATTAGATGCATGTAGGCTTGGGACCATCCAAACTCCCCCAAACTTGTTAGACATTAAGCAGTTCCCATGCCTCTGGCACAAAACACAACAAAACCACATCCCACTGCCTGATCCTGGCCAAGAAGTGGTGCTGGATGCTTAGAAACTTACATCTTATTCAACCCATATAGCCTTGAGACCATCCAACCGCCCTTAAAACTTGCATTAGACACCTAAGGCGCCTATACATGTGCTCCAGGGAGGAGCACTTTAACTAGAAAGGCTTTGAGAGCTGCTCTAAGTAAAGCCAGTGCAGCATTGCGTGTATTCAACACCCTGCACTTCAAAATGGTGGCAGGGCATTTGAACCTTTAAAGCACCCTGGCCATCATTTTGAAGTGCAGGGACTGCTGAATACACATGAGGTGTAATTAGCACCCTCCACTGAACTGGGGTCCATCACACGCAGCAGTGCCCCTAGCAGCTCCCAGGGGCCAGTATCTTCACAGAGCCCAGAGACCTGCCAAAGGGCTCCCAGCCATGCCAGGGAGGATAAGGAGGCACAAACCCACCTGCTTCCACCACACCTGCAGGATTTGGGCCTGGGGTGTTGCTACAGGGAGCAACTAGCGCGGAGGGGAAGCTCCGGCCCGTGGGCGCCACTCACCCTCCTCCAGGGCCTGGTTGTACTTGTCCAGCGCGGCCGCTAGCTCCTGCCGCTCGCGCAGCTCGTCGCCCTCGTCGCGCAGGCGGCGGGTGCGGCTCTCCCGCGCCAGGCAGCGCTCCAGCAGGTTGCCCAGCACCACGTTGACGCGGGGGGGGGCGGCGGC